TTAACCCCTCTCCAGGCACCGTCTTCAGCTTTGCCCTTTGGTTCGGAAATCTTAAACCCTTTAAAAAAAAAAAAAAAAAAAAAAAAAAAAAAAAAACATGTCTATGCATGACTTTTCAGTAATATTGCCCCCCTTGTTTTTCCTTTCACGTATATGTATCTCCTTTATGTTTTCCTTTAATCTGCAACACGTCTAGTGTTGGCGTGCAGGAGTTTAAATCACATTCCTTTTATAGCTATACAATCGTACAACACACTGAAATCTCTCTGTCATCAACAAACCTTTGCATGAACTGATATATAGAAGTATTAATTATTTACTCGATGCAATATGCTTGTGGCAAGCTGCTACGCTATGATAAAAAATACTGAATCGGTTCACTGACATAATGGATTTTCTTGGGGGGCGGGGAAGCAAGACGCTCAATATGAACCTTCCTTCCCTCTGATCCTCAGTGTCAGCCAACGCTACCGTGGCGTCTCGTCTGTGGCGGCGTTGCTGTGAAGCAGTCAGTGTTGTCTGGCTGGGTGCGACAAGGAGAAAATCCGCGTCCTCACTCCCTGAAAGGCCGAGGACGGGAACAAGGGTGGATCTTTACACTAGAGAGGGGAGGTCAGTCTGTTGTAATTCTCCAACAACAACAAAAAAATTGCAGGAAAAATGTGTCACTGTCTTTTACTTTATCCTCATACAAGAAAAATGGTTGTTTGTTGCAAAAATGTTATTATAAAGTCAATGGACGGGATAGCTCTGCATTTTTGATTCCAGTTCCATAGACATGATAAAACTAAGATCCCCAACCGCCCCGAAGTACACACACACACACACACACACACACACGCGCATTCACACACCACCACACCTCTGTCGCTTGTCCTGCTGTTCTGATTGGTCAGGGGCGCTGTCTGTTGGCGGAAACAATCAGCCTGGCATGTTGATGGTTTTCGCTGTGTAATTCTGGAAAAGGGGCTGCAGGAACATGCCCATCGTGCCGAACACGCAAACAAACACAAAGATCCAGAGAAAGAGGCGATCGATCACCATAGCAACGTACTTCCAGTCCTCGCTCACCTGTGGATCAGGCAGGAAGGGGGAGGGACCATATAAAGGGGTGTGAGGGAGGGGGGTGGGGAAAACAGAAAGATAAATGTCAGCATTGTGCAGCGAGAAGATAAACGTGTCGCATATGTAGAACATCGCATGCTATGCTTTCCAGTTTCCAGTAACTTTATATTTACGTTAAAAAATTAAATATTAGCGTTCAATCTAAATTTGTGGCAAAGAAAGAAATGGAAAAAAGCTAAGAAAGCAAGAAAGAAAGAAACAAGAAAGGAAGAGGAAGGAGGACAGAACATTTACAGTGAGATCCCTAAATATAAATATTTCCCTTTTTTGGCTTTCCTTCCAAAATGACAACTTGTCTAGACATCTGGGATCCTTTTCAGGCCGTATCTTTAACATCTTCAACTTCTATACATTCACCTGCCACATTGCAATTTGATCCATTACATAAGTGCTCCACATTTTACTCAGTGACCTTTATACTGTACGGAAAGTGACTTCACTGTTTTCTTTTTGACTTTTTTCCTTCCTTCTCTTTTCCCACTATTTCTCACCATTACATTTCTTCACACTGAAATCCCCCCTGGGTTTATCTGCTCGCTTTAAGAACAGGATCATAAATGTGACATCCAGCTCAACAGCCTTTGGCAAAAGCCAGAGGAAATGTTTGACCTTTCTAAAATGCAAATCCGAAATTTTAATTGCAAAAGTATTCATAACCTTTCAACTTTTTTACATTTTGTCATATTATAACACACACTTGAATGTATTAGTTCATATGACAAGACCAATCCATGACGACGCACAAAGGAAAAGACCAGGTCATGCTTCGTATTACCCTTTATGAAGTAGTATTTTGTAGCAGCCAGTGTTTTTTTTGTTTTTTTTTGTTATCTCTACCAGCCTTCCTCATCTAGAGAGTAAAATCTTTGCACATTCTTCTTTCTGAAACAGCTCAAGCTCAGACAGATGGGTTGGCGGGAGCCTCTGAACCGCAGTTTTCAAGTCTGACCACAGATTCCCAATTGGATTTATGTTTGGACAAAACCACATTAAGACACTAAACATGCTCTGATCTAAACCTCTCCACCGTCGCTCCGGTTGTGTGTTTGGGGTTCCTGCCTGCTGGAAGCAGAGCCTCCCTCCCAGCCTTCTGCAGCCTCATGAAACTATCTGCAACCATGATTCACCGTGGGAATCGTGTGTTTAAGGTGATTTGAGGCGTTAAGGTTTTTCTGCACACATTTTTTTTTTTTTGTGTGTGAGTTTCAGTTTAGGTTTCATCCTCTTTCACATTTGCCATGTATCTTAGATGGCTTGGGGGAAACTACAAGCGGGAATTCTTACCTATTATTGGTTCTTTCATAAAATCCAGGTTCAAACGATTTGTAGATGTTCCCATAGATTTCCCCTCCTGAACTGTGGCTCTCTATGGTGATCAGCTAGTTTGATTTGGAGTCTGTGGCAGTTCGCCTGTGTGTTTTATGCGTCAGAATATGATGTTTCCGACAGAACGACATGAATTGTACAAGGCTTTTTAAAAGCCATATCAGTTTAGCTGCAAATTATGAGTTTCAGTTGTAAAGAGTGATCTTTTTTTTTCTCTTTGTGTTCTATAAATATGGGAAGGACTCAGTCAAATAGCACCTTTCTACAGGAGATGCTATTTTTTTTTTTCGTTTGTACAACTTTGACAAATTTAGAAGCAGAGCTAAATAAACAATACTGATTCTTTATTTTGTATATGAAAACATTAGTCATGTTTATAACTGTGCAGGTTAAAAATCAGAAAAGGTTTGACTGGCAAGAAGGCTTTATGCAGCCACTTTATCTGTTAAGGAATGTTTTTTACTCCTCCTGTTCTGATGTGGGATGTTGCTTTGTTGCCGCCTTTAATTTGCAAAAGATTGTCTATTAACACTAAGTAAGAAAAAACCCCGTAAGCAGAATCCAGCGTTCTGTCGTCTCTGTCTGTCGGCTCCCCTTCCTGCGCAGGGTTAATGGAGGTGAGTGGTTAATGTGAGTCGAGACTCTTTCTGGCACACAGCTCTGATGAGGTTCGACTCGAGTCGAGGAGGAGGAGAGGAAGGTAAGAGACCCAGGAGATGGAGGACACAGAGATGGTGCTGACATTTGAACCCTGTGATGATAACTTGAGGAGGGGAGCAGAGGAGAGAGGAAAAGCGAAGGGGGGCGGGGGGGGGGGGGACTGAAAAATTACAAACTGGACCAAGAGAGGAAGGATTTTAACTCAGTTTTCATGGCTACAGAAAAGAAACCATGTTTGTGATGGACGGAATCAGAACAAATAGTGAACTCCTGTGTTCTTTTCTATGTTTCCAGGTAAAAAGGAGTTACAAAAAAAAAACCCACTACACCCTCACTCCTCCATCTCAGCGCCTCGGCTTTTCCCCCCACTTCTTTATGCACACGTCATGCTGCTGCTATTATTACATACTCCGCTGGATAGTCGCTGGGCTACGGCTGCATCATCAGATCTGTCTGCTCTGCTGCTGGTCTCTTCCAGCAGCCCGTACATTTTCAGAAGGCAGAGTTAAACGACGGACCTGAGCAGCCACACAACATGATGTGGCACTCATCTGAGCAGCTCAGGAAACCATAATGGCTGGTAATGTGCTCGGATAAAAGACAATGACTCACTGCTAAGCCGATCCACACGCAGCCACGAGGAGTTAAATCAGAGTAACACTCAGGCGAGCCGACAGCATCGGCAAAGACTTGTCATCACAGGCCATGTGTTGGCAGAGCAATTAGCCGGAGAAAATTTACATGGCACCAAGAAGCAGCTTATCAGAAAATCAGCAAACTCAGGAGGCAAGAGGGACAGCAAAGCTGCAGGTTCTTAAAGCTGAGCGTAAAGAATAAAGATTTTATTCATTTGAGCAAAAGATATAATGAAATATTTAATATAAGCTGGAAACATACTCAAAGGAAAGATAGGAATGTATTATGAAAATAGGTCTCTTCTCCACATCACAATATTAACAATTCGATTTGAAATTAAAAAACTCTTTTAGGCACCAAAAGAGTTATTAGTTAAACTGATACAGTTAATAACAATGCGATGCTTTTTTTTTTTTTTTTTTTTGGAAGGAACAGGGAAGATGGTGAGAAGTAACGACAAGACAGCAAAAAAAAAAGAAGAAAATCTTTTGCACAGACCACAAGGAAATGAAATGGCCAAATAACTAAGTGAAATGGCCTAGTCAAAGTCCAGACCTAAACAAACCCGCATGAAATCTGTGGCGAACCTTGAAAGCTGATGTTCACGGACATTCAATGCAATCTGTGTTACGATCCGAAGGTAGCTGGACTATTTATGTTCCTGTTTTGTTTATTGTTTACTTGCTGATATGTTTTGGTTTGCCCCTTATGCTGCTTCACTGTTTTTCAGCATTTGTGCTTTGGAGTTGTTACTTTAGATTAGTCTTCTTCTTTGTTTACTGTTCATATTGGTTTCTGGTCTCTTCTCCCCTTGTCTTTCTCTCTGCTTTGTTCATATTCTGTCTTTCCGTCTCCCTGGTATCTTGCTCCTCTGCCCAGCAGCTCCACATCTCTTAGTTCTCCAGCTGCCTGGGTTTACCTCTGATTCGTCCCTCTGCTTCCTTGCCACTCACTTCACTTCCTCAGTATATTTCTGCTCCCTGGTTTCCTTTGTTTCCTATCTCCATGTCATCCCACACCATCGTTGTTTCACCTTTTGTAAGTATTTTCCTTACTTTCCTTGAATTATTAATTCCATGACAATCCCATTCTCCTGCCCACAACCTTGACAATCTGACTTAGATTCCAGCCTCTAGATGCTGGCAGACACGTTGAAAGACTCAGTGAAAGGTGGTTGCACAAAATATTAACTCAGAGGAGGCGACCATAACCAGGTGTCAAACGTTTCTGATTTTTAGTTGTAAAAAACAAAAAAAACAACCACATTGTGGTTGTAAATGTCTTACCACTCAACAATGTCTTTTAATGTTTGGAAACTGCAATATTTTGATGGGTGATGTTTCTCTGGTATTTAGGTTGTGAATGGTCTATCCATTTGCTTTTGACCATTTTACGCAGCTGACTGACCGCTACAGATCGGGATTGGGCGGAGCAACACTTTCCTGTGTAGTCCTCTCACCAACAAGAATTTGAAGTGGATTGCTGGTCTGATGCAACTTTTTTAGAAGGGGTTAAAACAGTGATGTTCTAAATCAAATCAAATCAAATCAAAGACAACACTTGAAACTGAAAAAACCCATGCCCCATTTATAGTAAAAAGGACGTGGAAAAGAGTTGTGAAAATGTAATACTTACACTCTGATCATCATCTTCGCTCTTCATGTGGTTGGCAATGAAGCGAACTCCTTCCACCGCCTCATCGAATCCTGGACAGGCTTGAGCCAGCAAGGCCTGAGTCAAAGCCGGACCTCCAGCCGCCTGCTTCCCCCGGGGCAGGTTTCCAGAACCGCCCTCCCGGCCCTCCCTCACTCTGTTCAGACCGTCCGTTGATCCCCCTCCGGCACCCACCAGTTCCCCTCCAAACTGTTTGACGGACGCCCGGTTCACGTAGCACGTGCAAGGGTCCCCGTCATCCTTCCCGAAAACAGACGATGAGGTCCCCCCTCCGTTCCCGCCACTGCCGCCGACACCGAGCCCGAGGCCGACCATCAGGGCCGCCGGCTCCCCGCTGCGCCCGCCCTCCTTCTGCTCCTGCGCTCGCCTCCGCTGGCGTAGCCGCTGGCGCTCGCTGCTGTTCCTCGGCTGTCGCATGAAGAGCAGGGCGGGAAGCTTGTTGAGGAACACCAGTTTCACCCAGGGAGGCATGGTGTGCGTGGTGGGCGAGCGGTGGTGGACGTTGAGCACGCACACGCTGGTAACTATGGAAAAAGTGACCAGGACCATGGTGAACATCAGGTACTTCCCCACCAGAGGAACGTCCAGGGAAGTTGGCGGGACGATCTTGGAGATCAGCAGCAGGAAGACAGTGAGCGCGAGCAGCACAGAGATGCACAGCGTCATCTTCTCTCCGCAGTCGGACGGCAGGTAGAAGACCAGGATGGCCAGCGAGGTGATGAGCACGCAAGGGATGATGAGGTTGATGGTGTAAAACAGCGGCTTCCTGCGAATGATGAAGTCGTACGTGATGTCCACGTAGGTGGGGTCGGCCGGGTTCTCGTTTCGTCGACCCGGCAGGGCGATGATGTCCCATTCCCCGCTGGGCGTGAAGTCATCCATGCTGGCCACGTCGGCGCGGAGCACGAGGTCTATTTCTGTGCGGTCGTAGGTCCAGGAACGAAACCTCAGCGTGCAGTTCTGCTGGTCGAAAGGGAAGTGCTTCACCTCGATCTTACAGGCCGATTTATAGATGGCTGGAGGCAACCAGAAGATGCTGCCATCGTAGGACACCACCGCGTTAGAGTAGAAGGACACCTCATAGACCCCGTCCGCACTGCGGGAGAGGAAGGAGGAGACAACTCAGTTACAAGTAGCTTTTATATTTACGCTGGTTATCTTTGTCTCAGATTGAACCGCCAACACTATTCTCGAGTCTATGCATAAAAATCTTTAGTTAATAAATGTTATAAACAAGATTATACCAGCTGTTGTCTACTCATAATTGCTCCACATGACTCCTCCACTTCAAAAAAATAACATTTTCATCATTTTTGTGTGAACTGATGGGCCGAGAAGAGCAACACATTTCTAATTTTAAAGCAGAACACATAAACAGAGAAGCATTCTCAGCTGAAAAATTTTAATTATATATTTTTTTTGTGTGAATATGCTTCACACAAGTGCCTGGATATTTAAAGAAAATGATAAAGGTATAGATGGTTCAGACAGGAAACAAAGTTCATTGATGCTTAAGACAAACTCTTTCGTTTGGAGTGACCCAAAAACATTTAAACTCAGATTTGGGGGGTAAATGTGATGCAAGAAAAGTAACCAGCGGTTATTTTTCCTGTTCTGTCCAGAGCATTAACTCAAAAAATAATTCTGAATTTGCAAACAATATATCTCTGATGCTGTTATACAATGAAATAATCCCTTTGCTCAAGAAAGCGACAGCAGCTGAGAATTGGGGATTGGCGTGCTGGCCTGGGGTCCACGGGATTATCAGGATCACTTTATCCAGAGTGAGGTGGGTCAGTGATCTTTTAATCATCTCTACAGTAACGAAAGAAGAGAAGGTCACACAGATCCCTGTTCTCTGATGAGCTGATTTGCAAACCATAGGCTGACACGGAGTTTCCACTACACCGAGACGAGCCGACTGCGACATCCGGAACGTCTTCAGACGTGCAAGCAAACCCTCTTCAGGCGCATGGGTTTTGACGATGAATGAAATCTGATGAGGTTCGTTTCACCCGCAGCAAAGCAGCTCTAATGCACTGCGCATCAATATGCATGGTTATCAATCTTTGTCAGAAAAAAAAAATGGTGGCAAAAGCAGTGTTTTCCTTCCTCTTTCCACTTGGATCACTCTGAGATGTAGCCGCAGTAAACACTTTTAATCAATGTGTTATAGAAATGCAAATTCACTGTCCACTCATAAGATATGAGAATGTATGTACTCTTTGTACACTTCAGTATGTTCTGGCTTTATGAAAGCCTTTACAGCACAGCTGCAGCTTAAGGTAAATATTAGACGACACAGAGCCATAGAAAAAAATATAGCAAAACATCTTCAGAAATATATAGTGGCCTTGTGCAACTCCTGTGTGAAACCCATCTTATGCTGCAGTTTCAGCTATAAACATTTAGAAGTATTTCTCCAACCAGCTTTCCATATCAAAAAAACAACATTTTTTTTCTTCATTTCTCTTCTTTGGATTTTATATTCGGCCCAGTCTCAAGTCTGTGGAGACTCAATTAGCTTTTCTTCCATACTTACCCTGTATTTCGCTACATCCATCTTTTCTAGTTAGTTTCCTCAACACTGCTAATAGAGCAAAACAAATCATCCCCACAGCATTATTCTACCACCTCTGTGTTTCACGGTGTGTTAGTTGCAGTGTTGCTTTCTAGCCACACGTTATGCTTTAACTGTAACACCTTCTTCCACATATTTGCTTTGTTCCTTCATGGTTTGTGATGAACTGCACTTCCTGAATGCCCTCTCACATCAATGTCCTTCTTCTCGTTACTCTTCCTTTAAAGCCAGATTAGTGACATACACAACCAATAGTTGCCCCATTGGCAGTTTCTCCCTGCAGAGCTGTGGATCTCTGCAGTTCCTCCAGAGTAACCAAAGGCCTCTTGGCTGCTTCTCTAGTTTATGCTCTTCTTGCCGCAACCTTATCGTTGACCTCTCCAGAGTCATTCCTCACTTGTTTGTTCGACTATGCTCTCTATCAAACTTATGCATTGGACCACATGTAGGCTAAGACTGAACTACACAGAGATGGACTCCGAAGGCAATGGGTTGCATTGGACTTTATTTAGTGGTAGCACCGAAAAGGGACCCGAATGATAAGCCTTCTTTTCTGAAGCTTGTTATAACCTGACAATATGTGCAACGTTTTGAGGAGTGCGAATACTTTTACATGATCGCATATGACATCTGCTGCATGTCTGTTCCTCCACAGGACGTCAGTGTGCAGCAAAGATGATTGAATCTTTCAGACATGTCTGCAGTGGTGGAGCAGCATGGTAGCATGAGCAACGAGAGGAGATTCTAGTTGACGTATTCAGTCATGTGTTGCAAACTTCAACGTATCACCCGCTTAAAATGACTATTTAATTGCCGCGTCCGCTTTCGCTGGACGACCCTGACCAGAGAACCGGCTTAGAACGTGGTCAGGAAAAGGAAACCCACATGTCTTCGCTGGGCGTCGTGCAGTGGCATTCGTGTGTCAGTTTATCTTTTCTAAGTGAGGCCGAGAGCATGAGAGGGTGACTCACTTGTTGTAGAGGACCACGTCAGGAAGCCAGATGTGTTTTGAGGGCAGCCTGACCTTCATCATTCCGTCGAACTCCTCGGGGACCCAGGTCAGCCGATAGTCCTGCCACTCCTGAGGGCCAGCAAAAACAACGTGCTTAGTCACTCATTTGCTAATCACACAGCAGCAAGAAGACAGCAGGGAGCAGAGAATTTGCTTTTCGTTTCTTACAAGTCGATGGAAAAGATGTGAAACCTAGGCTGTCGCTACAACACCGAGCTTTGGTCCAAGCTGTACCGTCTGCAGCAGCCGTGAAACACTATAATCATTGGTTTGTTTGGGCTCAGGATGGCTGTCCTCGGTTTTCCGACTTTCTGATGGTGAGGGATATATCGAGCCCTCATAGTCATTCTACGCTTGGCTACCAGTCATAAATCTGCGCCTGCTCACGTTGCAAGCGTTTGCGTGTGTGTGTGTGTGTGTGTGTGTGTGTGTGTGTGTGTGTGTGTGTGTCTCACTATGAGGCAGAGAGCACAAACTGAAATGTAGGAACCACAGGATGTTTGTTTGTTTTTCTTGATATGAAAGTGGTTTCAACACAACAGAATATATTTTCTGGATTTGGGTCACAACGAATCATCTACTTTTCATCCTCAGCATCCTCCTCTAATTCATAGGCGCCCAGGAGAACAACTGTCCTGCAGCTTTTAGATGAATCCCTTCTCCAACACACCTGAATCAAATGATTGATAGGCCTCTGCAGAGCTGCTGCTGTGATTTGATTCAGATGAGTTCGAGGAGGAGTACATCTGAAAGTTGTAGGGTAAAGGACATACGCATTCCTCATCTAGTTGGATTTATTAAAACAAAAGAGCCAAAAATTCTTCAAAAATAATGTTTGTTAATGTTATTTTGATATTGATGCAGATTTTAGCAATTGTATAATGTAAACACACTGGATTTACAAACCCATTTCAAATGAAATAAAAACAAACTTTGATATTGTCTGATCTGCTCTGTTCTGTTCTGCAGAGTCATAACAGTTTATACATCCTACTAGTAGTATTTAAAAAAAGCAAATATTGCTTCAGTCAGAACTGTCCTGACCAGGTTACATAAACAAACCCCCAGCATGTTTGTCTGATAGTAACTGCAGACAAATTTTCACAGAGCTCTGCACCCAAGTTAAATTTACTTTATCCTCAGCAGAGCGAACACAGATGGCACGCAAAACCTTCCACCGTGGACTGCTGGGTGGAGAGCAGACCCACTTTGCGACACACAAAGTGGATCAGGATGGACTGCACAGACGAAGACATGACGTAGCGTTCTGCAGCATCCATCACTTCGTTTGTAAACGTACGGTTAAGAAGTATTTTGTCTCTCAAAAGATGACTTAATTTACTGAAGGAACTGACACTGTAGAGCCACCTGGCTCTACTGCGCTGTGCTGTGTGGGTATGATGTAATGAGCCGTGCTATAAAGAAAGGTTTAGTCATTGTTACTTTGTACATATTCAGTAGCATCCAAGTTCTTCACAGTTTAAAATCTCAAGTAGCGTATTTTTGCCCTTTTCGAGGCTTTATTTGCATGTCCCATCCTCCATGCTTAGTGCCACCAACAGGTCAAGGGGAGTAAAACGTAGCATAAAATAGCATTTGGGGCCATTCTCTGTTTTTCTGTGTGGATGAAAACATTACTGGAAATGTTTCCATGTGGAGAGGACCCAAAACACTTTTTTTTTTTTGTATGAATTGTTTTTTGCCTGTGTGTGTGTTTGGTGAGGTGGCTGGATGTGATGAGGCGTGTGAAGTCTCACCTGTGTCAGCCAGACATTGGTGGTCATCACCTGCTCTCTTTCATGCTGAAAGACAACACAAAAACACATTTAAATAATGAAACCATTGTCATCCTTCTGTGATTGGGGGAGCTTTTCAAATGCCACACTGTGCAAAGTTTTT